CTGCTCCATCACTACTCCCTCTATATACCCTGCTGGAGTTTGTCGTCAAACAACCGGATGCTTCATTTACGTCAGTTGAGGCCTCATTTTGGAGGCTTCTCTTGATGCCAAAGGATGGCTGGAAGCAAGACCGGCCAATACTGCAAAGATTGACCAGAAAACTCCCAATTCTATTTTGAAAGGTTCCCTGCGACGACAATTCAACATGCTGGTGGACAAAGTAACTGACTAGTTACTGGAACAACTGGGTTAAGGATACAAACATCAATACCTTAGTCGGCACCTCGTTTCCCAGAGTTGCCAGTTGGGTTATCCGAGCAAAGCAGCGGTTACTCCCATTTTGCTGCTTAACTCAACAGAGGCCTATGAAATCCATATCACGACTTGGATACTACGTCCGGGGCCCATCTACAAGCAAATTCTTTAAAACGCCTGTTTTTGCTAGTTTGGCTGCTTTTTGTCATTGGAACGATGTTCCCCGATGGCTTTACGAGTGTTCGTCCTTGGTGCCCCGAAGTTACTGGTGACCCCGATGGCACTCAAAAGCACTAATTGGTTTTACAACCCATCCACCAGTCAGATTGGAAGGAGTTCTATTTGGTAAATGATTGAACCCCCATGACGTCGCTGCCTCATTCGGAGTATAGCTTCGGCTTGCTGATCACTAGTGCGGGCTCACTCGTTTGGCTCAGTCATTTTGATAAAGCACCTACGACAACTACATTTGTGCATTGATTGCATTGCGGACCGTAGCATGATGAACAGCATTGCTTCATGATTCCCATTTGCTCTTATTTCGTGAATTCTGCGGATGTGAATTACAAATCAAAGGCAGAAATACACATCTGTTTGATACAGCTATGTCAGATGGAATCACTAAGCAGGCGATTGGTCGCTATGCTCGCTTGGGACAAACTCGCATCATCAGAGTCTATTCCGTCGCCTTCTACAGCCGCAAAATGACTACTATAGAGAGGAACTATGGAACCCACGACCACGAGCTACTCACCATTATCGACGCCGTTAAGCACTGGCGTTACTTCATACATGGGGCTGCGAAACCTACTCTACTCTTTATAGATCATAACAACCTCAAGCCCTTACTTGAAACCAAGATCCTAGCCCGTCGGCAGGCCCGCTGGGCTCAATATCTCAGCGAATTCGACATACATATTCTGCATCACCCAGGAAGGCCATGTCCGGCATGATTGCAGAACTCGACTGAGGAATCTTTTTCGAAGGTAAAGACAACAGAGAGGTTGACCTTGGTAAGTGGGCTATTAATCCGAAGACCATGCAAATTGTTAATTTGGACGGGGAGGTTGAGAAACGTAATGATCTGGCCGTGATCTCGCAAGCAAAGACGATGCATGATCGTTGCGTTAGCATGGCACAGCCAAAAAATCTGTCAATGATATAACGACTAGGGGTCTCCCCTTTTTGGCCCAGCGGTTTGATAAAATCATACAACAATTCCAGGTCGACACTCCAAGATTCCAAACCAGCTATTCCAGATGAATAACTATAAGGGTGCAGATGAGATCGAAGAAGAAACCAGGTCGAAGAGACCACCACGAACGTCTGTGACTGTCTGGTGATCCACGGCGATGTCCCGCTCACCGACTTGCAGAAGGACTTGCAGAAGGGAGTGTGAGACTGGGATTGATCCCAGGTATCCCTGCCATGGGACGACCTCCATATTTTCAATTTACATGATACCAATCAACTGATGGAGGATTTTGTAGCTTCTTCCCGTGCAAATACACCAAATTGCCAAGCTGGGATCTCTTGGATCTCCAGTGGGCTCTAAGAATATTTACAATCTTGATATCCCCCATAACATTGACGAGGGTGATAGCATTGGGATTGATTCTGTAGGAGGAAGATAAGGGCATTATCAATTTACACGACGGAATTACATTCTCATCCGTCCACTACGGCTCCTCTACCTGCAAGTTCCAATGGTTGCCAGCACGATGAGCAGCTCTTATTGCCTTTGTCCGGCTGATGGTCCGAAACGAACTTCTTATTCCACCGGAACAGAGAATACTTGACCATGGAATAACTTAACGCTAAGGTTATTCCTAACGCATATCCGTTACCGCGACAGGACGACATCTTGGATGGTCTCGGCGGCTCCGTTATCTTTTCCTCGATGGATATTACGAAGGAATTTTTTTCAGCAACCTGTTCACCAGAGAAGACACATGGAAGCTAGCATTTTCCACGCCGCATCGTGGTCACGAATGTTTCACAGTCGCAGTTATAGGTGTGACAACATCGCCGGCGTTCTTCCAGCACAGAATGGAACGTCTACTTACTGAGTGTCAAACTTCAGCTCTGCCTACCATTAGTGTGGGCTCACTCCTTTTGGTGTAGCGGCAGACTTTGACACTGAGTTTCTATAGTCATTTGTGCTAGTAGTTACACATTGACGACACCATAGTATACTCCGGCCCCCTGACGTACACCTCCACCATCTAGACCCCGTTCTGTCAACACTACAGGCAGCAGGCATAACACTCTCTGAACAAAATGCCACTTCGCATATAAGTCTGTCGAGCTACTTGGGCACCACGTCAGTCGACTGGGTGTCGCGACCCAGAATCAGAAGGTAGCTGCCATTCGCCAACTGCAGTTCCCAACGACACTACAGGTGCTCGAGACGGCCATTGGCTTATTCGGCTACTATCGACGATTCGTCCCCTTCTACTCGGCTATTGTCTCCCGGTTACCAAAGTCGAATTGTGAGGCTTGTAGGCTAAAGGTATTGCGAGCCTAGAGACGAATCAATGGTAGAACGTATATGATAGATTGGCTAGTGAGTTCACGGCGAGCTTTGCAGCCTCTTAATTTGTGCCAGATGCACATGGTGACTATGGAATTTTTATATAGACATATAAATATTGATATAACATTGACACTTAATATATCTATTTCTTTCCACCAGTGCGAAATAATTATATTGCTCATTTTGTTATCACTAGCTATTGCACGTTTGGATATGCTACCGTATAACGACTTCGTAGTAGTACTCAATTTCTCCCCTTGCTGGGACAGACTCCGATACCTGGTACAGGCGTGCTACTTTAGAGAAACCGGGTTGGTGGATAAGCATAACTATACGAGGTGTTGGAATGTGGAGATCCTTTGTATACGAGCCCGATCTATATAAATGTCCTCCAAGCGACTAGATCCACCTACAATATTTTTATGCGCCATCTCCTTATACAATCGTACACGATTCCTGTGAGTGAAAATGGTGACCTGGGTCCTTATATCCTTTGCAGTGCTCATATGTGCAGCTGTGTCAACTGCCTCTGTAGATACCAATCTCCTATCGATTCGCGGCCAACAACCCATCCATTTGAATTTGACCGGCCATATACCCGCAGAAAAAGTTCTAGACTTTGTCTTTGTGGACTTTGATGTTCCCGAAGGAACTACTTCAATATCTGTGCTGCAAAAGTACTCATTGAAAGGAAAAGGAAACGCCCTGGACCTTGGATGCTGGGACCAACGAGGCCACCATCTTGCTCTGGAGGGGAACTTCACTACTGGATTCCGAGGATGGTCCGGCGGTGCAAGGGATAACTTTACTATTACCCCTGAATATGCGTCCCCTGGATACATTGCGGGTGCGATCCAACCTGGTGTCTGGTCCGTAGCTCTTGGCCCTTACAACTCAGTTCCTCAGGGTATTGACTACGAATTGAAAATCAAGCTGGGTTTTGAGCCCGTAAAGTCCTACTTTCAGCCTGCCTTTGCCCCAAGCCGTATAGATAGCAGTCTGTATATGAACGAGTCTGGGAGCAATATCGACCAGCTAAAAAACGGGCATGGACAGCCTGGTTTACAATGGTACCGAGGAGACTTCCACATTCACACCATATACTCAGATGGCAAACAGACTCCCCAAAGAGTTGCGGAGCTGGCTCAACAAGCCAACCTCTCGTTCTTCTTCAGTACCGACCACAACACGCAATCCTCAGGCTTGATTTGGGGTGCCGTTGCTCCACCTTCTTTGCTTGTCGGAAGAGGCATCGAGGTGACCACCCGTGGCGGGCACTGGAATGCACTGGGCCTCAACTGGAACGAATGGGTTGAATTTCGTTATAAGGGGGACGACAGCACTGCTATATCTCAAGCGGTTCGACAGGTCCAGCGCCAGGGAGGCCTTGCGGTCGCTAATCATCCATTTGCTAACGACTGTCTTGCGTGCGATTGGTCGTTTAGTTTCGATATCATGGATGGACTGGAGGTCTGGAATGGAATTTGGAACGATTTCGATAGGAAGGCCGTGGATAAATGGCACAGTATGCTTGTTCAGGGGTCAAGGGTATTCGCTATCGGCGGCAGTGACTATCATAGCTCCCCGTCTGCAGTCGGCACGCCTACTACCGTAGTTCGTTCAGAGAGCCTGTCAACGGCACAGATCGTGGATAGTCTTCGCCATAACCGAGCATATATCGTTCGTGACCCAGGTATTGATATCCAATTCACCCTTAGCCACCAGGGCGAGACAATCCATATCGGTGATAAAGTAAACAGTGGGAAGGAAAATAAGATCCATGGTCCGATATCTGCAGTTCTGGAGGTGAAGGGACTCCCTGCGAATGCCGTGGCACTTTTTATATCTGATAAAGGCGTTCTTAGACGCCAGACTATCTCCCAGGCCGATCATGTTCTTCATGCCAGAGTTGATTCAAAGCACTCATTCATCCGCGTGGAAGTCCAAGATCCGACTGGCTCTATGCTAGCCATGACAAATCCAATTTGGACATAAAGTGGTGTCAAATAAAGCTGTTCGTTTGTAAATCTATTGGGAAAAAGAAGTGAAATAGAGAAACGAGTGCCCTTGGAACTCAGAGTACTCAGTTAGGTAATAAAAGTTGATAGCCGTTGAATCTAAAATATCTCACATAGTCAGAGAACGCCTGCCTTTGTCATTATCCATGCCACACTCTGCAGCTATCACACTCATTAAAATCCTAATCCACCTACTCTTCGTCCACATCATCTATGGTTTCTTTATCCTCCCAATCTTCAGCATCATAAAAATCATCGTCGTCGTCATCGCTATCACTTTCTTCCGCATCACTTCGCAAATCTATTCCTTTAGTAGCCTCGCGAATCTCATCAATTTCCGACTCTGTGTCGAACGATCCACGAAACCCCTGACTCTGCATATTTTTTTGAAGCTCTGCAGGAATTTCGTGGCCAACCTTCTCTATGAACCCATGAATCACATTGTCGGCTAAGTAACTACCCTCGCTGCCCCACGCTCGGGTCAAAGATGGTATCATCGAATCCGGAAGTTCACTTTTGACCACGCCGACAGACTTATGGGCACGGTAATGAGATATCATGGCAAGTATGAAATGGAAGTAGAAATAACGAGCTCGAGGCCTGGCATCAGTGGCGAAGATCAATTTTTTCTGGTGTAGTTGTGCAAATGTCATTCCACAGACGGGAACGTCTTTCAGGCCCGAGTGATCAAGAAGAATAACTTGCCACTCTCGTGGCTCACTCGTAACAGGGCCATATGGTACAATCACAACTTGGTATGCATCAAAAGCTTGTTCAAATTCGGATGGAAGAAAAAGACCGTTTCTTGCAGTATTGATCTCTCCATGGACATCCTTCCCAAAGATGTTGTCCATTGCTTGTTGGCCGTAAGACAGTGGGAATATGTGTGCTGCAACAAAATATTGTCTCACATGCCAGCCTCCCGTCAAGACATTGCAGTAAGTTGTCTGGTTCCCTAGCTGCTTGGACCCGTAAGCCGCCTTGATTGATGCGATGAAGTCGTTCTGCTTGTCTCGGGAGGTTTTTCCTCGGATACTGAGAAAGAGGTCAACATATGCTGCTCGTAGCGTAGCTCTGTTGTTGGTCTTTGGAAAGTTTAGAACTTTTTCTCGCTTTTGATATCGTTCTTCTCTCCTCATAGCAGATCGTCGTCTCTCCTCTCTTTCCTTTTTCTGTTTCAAGTACTCCCGCTTTGCTTGTTCAAATGTATGATCTTCGGAAGAAAGCGTTTCACTTCTACGTTGCCATACCAAATCCTTGACAGCATCCTCTGTATCTAGAACTGTCTGCGTTGTTCTCCAATACTGAGGCGTATCGTATATCTCTTCACTTGATTGCTGCCTAGCACGCCTGTAGGCTTGACGCGCGGATTTGATGAGCTCCTTATGTCGTGCGGCTCGCTCTGCTGAATCCATCTTGACTGACTAGTAACGGTAAGCATAGCACTCATAGAGACAGCGCAAAAAGCAACTTACTTGCTCAACTACTACTCAGAGGCACAAGTAAAAGCTGATAAACCTGGCAAGCTAAAATAGACCCTCAAGTTGCTAAACGACAGATTCCTGAAGTGGCTGCTTCCCGGAGGAAGAGAGAAGGAAAAAAGTAGTGAGAGGTGAGAAATGGCCATATTTATATTTCTTAAAGGAGCATACAAATAGTCAATTGCGTCATAACCAAACAAAGCACTCCTTTGTCCTGTGTTTCACGTGACCCATTGTCGCGGTTAGAACCCATTTTGGTTGAAAGAAAAGTTTGTTTAGCGCCTGACGAGGCTGGAGGACAAATCTTTTCGCAAATCAAAAGGCTTCCTCAAGTGAAGTGGAGATCCAACACAAACTTTAAAATAGCTTACGTAACAGCACAGACTCTTGTAATGACGGGCCTGGTCCACTCGGGTCCAAAGCGATGTCACGTGCCGTCCAACGCCTAGACCATCCTCGACCTCCTTATCCAGATAAGGGAATATAAACACTCAATGCAAACATTCACAAGTGTGCGAAAAGTTCTTTTAAGAGCTTGATACACCACCCACGACTCCCCAAACCCCCAATGGCCACGGTGGCGGAGTATGATCTTTCGCGTCTCTAGCATCTCTAGTTTCTTAAGCTCCAGTTAATCTCATCAAACCGCGCGCCAATGCCAGCAGACCGGCCAACCAGCCAGCGCCGCCCTTCATCTTCTCCATATCTCCTCTCTCCAGGCGGATATGACGAAGATGCTACTACCATACGCGCACTGTCCGATCAGGAATCGGACTCTGAAGATGACCAGCTTATGGAAGCTTCCCGAAGTACCCTCGACCTGGTACAACACGACCGCACCGTTCTAGAGGAGGAAGAGGAGCGGGAGCGGCTGTTGATCAGAGCGAAGTCGAGTCCAACAGATGGCCTACGAAGGATATTTGGGGCCAATCCCCATGACAATGGGAGCTTTAGTGTGAAGATTGGGAAACGGGACCGGAGCAGGCGGCGGAGAAGAGAATTAGCCGCGATGACGAGTGATCGAAGGAGACGAAGGAGCTCTGCGCAGAGCAACAATGATGATATGACTTTGGGAGAAGATGATGAATTAATGTACGAAATGGAGGAGGGTGTGTGCAAATCTATTGACTCTGATGACGATTCACGATCCGTATCAACCATAAGTTCCATATTTAGCGATTTGGACCCTCGGGATATCGGAAGTAGAGGCTACTGTGGCAGTGTGAGCAACTCGGTTCATCGACATAGTAACAAATTTCTGTACTAACTACACTTCTTTCTCTGGTTCAGGACTCATCATGCCGGGTGGTTTCGCTAATCACTTCCGCTATACTAATCCTGTTCTCACTTTTATACCTGGGGGCTTACAAAGCGTCGAGCGGCTATCGGACATCCCACCATCAACCTCCCAATACTATATCCAACGGCACCTCGCTATTCCTACCCACCACTATTCTTATTTCTCTTGATGGATTCAGGGCCGATTTTCTTACCCGCGGCCTCACGCCAACTCTCAACTCCTTTATTGCCAACGGAATATCGCCCAAGTATATGCTTCCAAGTTTCCCATCTGTCACATTCCCCAACCATTTCACACTGGTAACTGGCCTCTATCCTGAGAGCCATGGAATCGTGGGAAACACATTTTGGGACCCCGAGTTAAAAGATGATTTCTACTATACAAAGCCTGAGAAGAGTATGCAGCCAAAGTGGTGGACAGCTGAACCCATCTGGGCAACTGCCGAGAAACAAGGGGTGAAGACTGCCATTCATATGTGGCCTGGGTCTGAAGCGCACATAATGGGGATCGAGCCTACATTTCTGGATAAATACAATGGAAGTGAAGCCCTGCCCCGAAAAGTTGACCGAATTCTCGAATTATTAGACCTCCCAGGAGAGAAGGATGCGGATATTCCGCCTGCCATTACGCAGCGGAGACCTCAGCTCATTGCGGCTTATGTACCGAATGTGGATGCTGCAGGGCACACCTTTGGCCCCAACAGTACTGAGATTAGAACAACGATTGCCAACGCTGATAAAATGCTGGCTTCTATTCTTCAAGGCCTGGAGACAAGAAATTTGACTGACGTTGTTAATATTGTGGTTGTATCCGATCATGGGATGGCAACCACCTCAGTGGACCGCCTGGTCCAGCTCGAAGACCTAGTGGACCTTAATTTAGTCGAACGAATTGACGGCTGGCCCCTTCGAGGGCTTGTACCGAAACGAAAAGAAGATATCCAATTATTATTTGAACAGGCAAAAAATAACACTGCCTTCATGGGATTCGATGACTACCTCGAAATTTATACCCGTGAGACTATGCCGGAACGTTACCACTTCTCGAAGAGTGATAGAATCGCACCATTATGGATAATCCCTAAGACTGGTTGGGCGATTGTCGAACGGCCAGATTTTGATGTAAAGCTGGCTCAAAAGGAGGGGAAAGCCTACCATCCGATGGGGATTCATGGGTACGATCACGAACATCCGCTTATGAGAGCTATATTTGTAGCTCGGGGCCCTAGTTTTCCGCACAAAGCAAACAGTAGAGTCCAAGAATTCCGTAAGTCATTACATTCATATACTCTTCAAGATCTGCTTGCTAATGGTAATCTAGAAAATATCGAAGTATATAACATAATATGCGACTCACTGCGAGTCCAACCTCACCCTAATAACGGCACATTGCGCCTTCCATTAAAACCTGTCGGGTTACACTCTGATGGGAAAAGTTCTCCCATCGAAAATCTAGATGACCAAGATCCCCCTAAATCAACCTCATCTAAAACTCCAGTTTCCACTAGATCTCCTCTTCCACATCCTACTGCAGCCACAGGAAATGCTGGCATTCCTCCTCCCCCTCCTCTTCAGACAACTCAGCAAAGTCAGGGACGGCCTTCTTCATTTATTGACAGGATAATTGACAAAGTCAAAGGCTGGACAGGTGACCTCCTCAGCTTTGTTGGACTGGGGTGATATATTTGTTCTCTTTTACCCTAATTCTCTTGTTGAGCCCTTTTAACCCTATTCATATATACCCGGTTCCGTTAAATTCTTCGGTTCTTCATCTGTGTTAACGTTTGATATAATGTTTGTTTCTTTGTGGGCTGTGGCCGTCTTTGGATAGCTGATTAGCATGTGCATTATGAACTTTGTGATATTTGCCTATTTGACTTCTGAAACTACAGCATCTTAAAGAAAAAGATGACAACATAAGCTGGCCCCCACGGTAGCTAGTTCTTCGGTCGAACACAGAACTATTAACTCGAACTAGCTATCCTGAGTCTCTGACTGATACTCATCTCCACGAAGCCATGCCTTGAGTTTCTGCAATGCCTTGAATCTCTCAGATACCTTATTCTGATAGAATTAGAACAAGAGTAACTATTTATGACCATAAAATGCATAAGCTTACCTTCTCTTCAAAACTCATCTCAGCATAAGTACGCCCTTGATATTCGAAGATCGGGTCAAATGCTAGTATCGCAATGTTTCTTAGCTTCATATTTCTCCTTCATAGATATGGCTATGGCAACACATACCAAAACCACCGCTCCCTCTCTTAGGTACAATCACCCCATCTGTATAACCATGGAAGAGAAGTGGTTCAGAGCCTGGTCCGGCAGAGTAAGCATATATGCAGGCGGTTCTAGCAGACTTATCGGGGTACGCTGCTAATATATTGTATAGCCCGTCGTTTCCCAGGCTAGAGAAGAAATGTCTTCTGGTATAGGGTAATACAAGGTAAGTAGATATTCTATATTCATACAACACCCGCCGATATATGGGTAGAGGATGTAGCAAATAGACTTACATATAAGGTCCTGGTAAACCACCTAGGGCATTAAATTCAAGTCCACTATCCTCGACCAGGACAGGGCCGCCAACCTAATAACTATATTATTACTGAGGACACCAAAAACTGTTACATAGAGCAATATGAATGTGCTTATACCGCATCAGCTGCTTTCTTGCATTTGTCTCGTGCAATTTCTTCCAGTGAGCCCTGAATTTCTGGGATATCAATGGCTTGACTTGTAAGCTCGATTGCATCTCCCAAAATTGCCTGAGCCTCCGCCAACTTGCTCCTATTTCTGGTGACATAGTTGAGGGTCTTGGGCTTAGAGAGAGCCATGGTGCTGCTACTTTGGTCAGCGAGTGGACTGGCTCTCCTATATGGACGTTTTCAATCCATCTTCCTGAACCAACAATTTGGTCACCTCCCAACTCATTAACTAGGTACCCCGCCAGCTGCACAGGGGGTTCGTTAGTTGTACTTAGACAGAGCATCCTGATCCTCCAGGGAGGTACCTTGTTACGCTCTAACGAAGCCGTTCCAGCAACCAGTAAATGGCCACTGCTGCCTGGTATACGGCACATCAAGCATTCAACTAGTTAAGCATATTAATTGAGCGGGATGGTTTGAACTAAGAATGCCAGCTCGAGTCTCGCCAATAAACAGCCGCTTCATGCCTGGAATACGATATCCATGCTTTCTTAGGCCTTGCTGCCTGGGGACTAACGTGTGTGGCGTATATTAAACACGAGGGGCTTTCATCTATAAAATCCAACCCAGCTCCCTTTTCCTCACGATACCACCAGAATCATCACGATATATTTCCAAGAAACGCCCTCAAATATCCACAAGTCAAGTCAGTTATAGAGTGAACCAACGACACCAAAATGACCAGCTTCCCTACTCAAAAGATCCATCCGTGTCTCTGGTTCGACAAGGAAGGCCTCGAGGCCGCAAGACTGTATACCTCCATCTTCTCCAACAACCCTCACTCCAAGACCAAGGGGGACTCATACATCGTCAACGAAGCGGCTATCACCAACGAGTCGGCGGTACTTGTCTCTTTCAAGCTGGGTGGCCAGGAGTACTCGGCTCTCAATGGCGGACCGCACTATAAGCATACCCCCGCCATCTC